AAGCACTTCGCAACTCGCTTTTTTTGTAAATGTTGAAAGTGTTCAGTTCTAAAACATTTTTTTTTGAATATTTAAACTATCTTTTAACTTTGTTTATGTAATGTTTATTTAGAAAAATTAGGTCATAAAAACTCTCAGTCGCATTTAAATGCGACTGAGAGTTTGAATTTAAATTCATAAAAATTATATTTAATATAAAGTCTTTTACAGGGTTATTTACTTTTATTTGCACGTCTATTCATTTTTATATGCGTGTTTATTCATTCTTATATGCATATTTATTCATTCTTATATGCGTATTTATTCATTCTTATATGCGTATTTATTCATTCTTACATGCGTATTAATTCATTCTAATATTTACATTTAATATTCTTAATAAACTACATTGTACTTGAGTAAACTTTTCGACCGGTAAATTTTACTTGAACTTGAGTAAAATTTCACTCAAGTAACAATACTTTACTTGAGTACAATTTTTTTTTTTACTTTTTCCACCTCTTTTTCTATAAACTAGTAAAATGTTGAATGTAAAATTTAGTTTCAAATGAATGTAAAATAGTTTCACGATTTTAATTAAAGAAGTTTTTTTCTAATTCATTGTGTAAAATATAAGTTTCTCCATCATAGATTATCTTAGATTATTATAAGCAAAAGGAAATTAAAACTTTTCTTTTTTAAAAAAGGGAGAAGTGCTTTTGTTTAAAAAAACTATTTTCAATATTTTTTGTTTTTTTATTAATTCAATATTGTGGAAATTTCTTTTGAGGTGATACATTTATGAACATAAATTACATTTAAAAATATCTTATTGGTAACTGATAAAATCTATTTATAAATTGATTATAATCTTCATTAAAAATAAAATGCGAATACTTTAAAATACCAATAAGGTTGCCACCACTCCTGGATTGCACGGAAGTCTCCCGGATTTCGATATCAACTCCCATCTCCTGGAAGTAGTTTGAAAAAAACATTGAAATCTCCTGGAATATCTAGCGAAAATATCCTAAAATTTTATATTTTTTGCAGATAGTTTACATGTTTTGCAGATAGTTTACACGCATTAAAAACATGATTCTCTAGCAAAACAGGTACCAATAAGATGGTTATCCTTACTTCCAGCACTGGAAAGAATACTTCTGGTATAGTCTGTGTTGTGGTCATATTTTGTAAAGGGAGAAGGAGAATGCCACAAAGTAGTATAGGATGCATTTCAAGATGACGTAATTGAGTCCATTCCTAAATTGTATTGCTGCTTCTTACATAATGTTATACAGGTCTTTCAAAGTGATGTACTAACTTTAGAGTTAGATCAAACTACTAGTTCCGAGTCACACCCCGATAGAAGTAGGTTCAAACCAGAAAAAATGTCCCATGGTCATGTGATTTTTTTGGTAAAATCTGTACTGACCTCTATTTAATTATTTCCTATGACAAATGAAACTATATTAAGACTTTGATATTTAAATACATGTGAATTATAAATATAAGATTAAAAGTATGTATAAGTCTTCTAAAAACATAAAAGTCTCCTTTAAAATTAAATCTTGAAATATGTTTGTCTACTACTCTCCTTTAAAATTAAATCTTGAAATATGTTTGTCTACTACTCTCCTTTAAAATTAAATCTTGAAATATGTTTGTATACTGTTATAAACAATAACCGATCTCAGCAGTTTTGATTGGTACAATGTGACAAAACTTTTTGAAGTCATAATGAACAGATTCAGAAGCCTGTTCTGACCAAAAGCCAAGACCTTTTCTAGGGTATTTGTCAGCCGTTGATCCAAAAAAAGCTGGTACATGGATGACTAGAGTATGTACTTTTGTTGATTCTTTTTCGTTCTATGCCACATATGCTTCCTTATAGGAATATTGAAGGAAATATCAAGTTTAATGGTTAACTTTGGTTTGCATAGATTTATAATATATAATAACATAATATATAATATAATACATTTAATATAAATATATAATATATTATAATATTATAATATAATATAATACATTTATTTTTAATAGTTTAATACATATATAAAAATAAATGTTGAAGAAAAACCAACATAAATTCTCTTTCCAATAAACAAAAATACAAAATGTTTTTTTTCTTAATAAATCTTGACGCACAAAAACTTATGTTAAAATGTTTGCCTGTCTATTGTAAATATTTTAAAGCTTTTAAAATTTGCAATAGTCATCGAACAATTTGTGATCGAATAAAATACTTAATGGATATACAAGGAAAAATACTGGCTTTTTTGGTTTACAAAAATGTCTTTTTTTTTCTTGGATCTCAAAATTTTTTTTCAATGGTGTTATTTTCTGAAAGTAGAGGTCAGTATGGATCCAAAAAAGTATCACATGACTCTGGGACATTTTTTTTTATTTGAACCTACTTCCACCGGGGTGTGGAGTTACATGAAATTATATTCGTAATAAGAAAATTGCAGATCGCAAACAATACTAATTTTATAGTGAAAAAACAAAAGTTTGAAAGAGACATTGATGAATTATACAGCAAATGCTTAAATTACTTAGATAAATGGTACAACTTCCAGAATTCAGAATTTCAAAGCATGAGTATCTTAACTTTGAATGAAGCAGTGGTCTGGACCTTATTTGACTAACAAGCAGTCAAGTTTTGCATTGATGTAGATCAAAATAAATACTATGAAGACTACTGTCTTCTGCGTAAGTATTCTGTCCAAGCAGCGCTGGTAGAGACCAACACAAATGTGGTGGATTGATGGAGTAGTTTTTTTACAAAACTTGCCGAAAAAAAGTGGTAGGGGTGGCGAACTTTTCAAAGTAGTACCCTTTGTATTCTCCATACCTGTTTCAAATTCTTAATGTGAACGAACTTTTAGTGTGATGAATTCTTTGTGGTCTAATGAACGAAATTGTCTTGGACTTTGCCAATTGTTTAAAAAAGTCAATTTTTTTTATTTTTTTGTTTCTATATTGTATAAAAAAATATAACAATTATATTTTTTTATAAAATATAGAAACACAAAATTAAAAAGACTCATTTTTCAAAACAATCGGCATCGGCCGATGGTTACCAAGACCGATGCAACAGTGCACCCTTAGTCATTAGTATTGCGGTGTTAATTAGATTATGAAAGTATAAAAAAAAAACGTGTTATACTTTCATGTTTAGACTTACAAGTTAAAAACTTGTGACTTTTTTGGAAAAAAACGACAACATTTCTAAAAGAATAAAAACAGTTTTAAATAAAATAATAATAATAAATAGTTGTGTTTGCTATCGCGCTAACCATTTTTACTTTAGAGTATTGGTATTAACTATCTCTATTTAATTATAATACAAAATTGAATAAGATAAGAAATAAGTTTAATTAAAAGTAACAAATAGCTTTACCTTACGAAAATTTCAAATTCAAAATTAAATCACAGTAAACAGAAAACTATTAAAAACGTAACATGTTGTATTAAATTTTATTTTTTACAAAATATTAATATTTACGGGGAAGATATTTTAAAAATGTAAAAGAAAAATGTAAAAAAAGTGTTGATGTTAACCCCCGTTAAAAAAAGCGTTGCTCATTAAATAAAATTCTTGCGGCATAATACTGTTTTCATTTTGTCTGAATAATCTCAAAGAATGACGAACTTCATCACATTGTGCACACTTTCGTTTTCTTGGGCATTTTTGGTTAAAAAATAAAATACAAAAGAAAGTTTATATATAATATACTGAACATTTCAATAACTTTTAAATAACTAAAATAATTTTAAGAAAATTTCACAAAAAATATTAGTCGGACAAAATGACCGATTTATGATGATTTTTACCGGACCAATGTCGGACAATGTCCGATGTCCGGCGGCTATTTCGAGCCCTGTATATATATATATATATATATATATATATATATATATATATATATATATATATATATATATATATATATATATATATATATATATCATTTGTTATATGATAATAAAAATGTTGAAGCAAGCAACATGTTCATTTATATTATCAAGCCATCTTAAAAGTAAAAATTATGAATTTTGCTTTAATTTATAAGATAAAATATTTTTAACACTTTTTCATAGATCGTTGTTCAACAATCTTTGAAAAGATGTTAAAAATATTTCATCCTATAATTTAATATTAATTTAATTCCTATTTTGTTAGTTTTTCTTTCTTTATTTTTAAAATTTTCACAACATTTGATATAAAAAAGCTTGCAAATGCTTGTGACCAAGTTGTCTAAAATAAAATACTCATGCGTGGACATATAAGACAAAAAACTGCACTCGTTTCCTGAGATAGCTGGCATGGTTATTATTATTTTTTAAAACAATCTAATTAACAAGTCAAAAACTAAATATCCTAAAATAGCAGATGTGATGCCATATCATTGATACATCTTTCTACACAGAGATATCTTCATGTAGTATATAATAGCAAACTAACTATAAACATATATAGTACTTAAAGGAACATAGAAATGACAATTAGTTCAAAATATGACAAGCCTTGCAAGCAATGTAAAGATGTTAAAAGTGTTTAATTTAATTTTAATTTTAATGTAGCAAGTATATATTGTCCCTATATGGAAACATCTATTTTTGTTCTCCAATGACATGGTAGTCCAAAAAGGAGGAGGTGAGTTAAAAAACATTTAAAAATTTAGGAAGGCGTGGGTTTCAAAATATGGACATTCTGACTATGATGAAAATGCCTTATCCGATTCAACTAAAAGTGCCTATACTTAAGAACAAATAAATATGATTATGTAATAAAAGTTATACATAAAAGTATACATATGCATCACACAAACGTTTTCATATAGGGACAATATAAAATATAGTCAAATAAATTATTTTAGTTGTCTAAAATTGTTTTAAAAAAGACAATCAAAAATAATTTTTTAAATTTAAATCTATGATAAAAATTATTTTTATAGTTTTTTGAAACTAATTTTCTTACTTTTATATCTTTTTATTTGTACAAAAATCTTTAGATTTACACAGAGTACGTTAAAATATCAGATCAACTTGCCAGCGAAAAAGAAGAAAATTCACGACTCAAGATGTATATGGAACAAATATTGAGAGTAAGTTTAATTATTGCTTACAATTTCAAATTGTTTGATTTAATATTTGGGCTCAATGTGTTTTCTAAAATGTTTATAGTATCCTGTTTTTTATTTTTATAATAGCTGATATTGATACAATCCAGTTCTTTGATTTGTAAATACAAACTTATATAATTTAATACTTATATAATTTATGAAGATTATTTAATTTATTATTTACTTTTTATTTATTAATCAAAAAGCTTTCGATATCCAACTACTTATTTAATTTATGAAGATTATTTTGATACTTTGCATTGGAAGTGTTAATATTCAGCAAGTGCTTGAATTTAATACTAATGATTTATAATTGAAAATAAAAATAAACTTTTTATAAAAATTACTAAATGTACAAAAGTTAACTTTCTTAAGTATTTTTTTTAATTTTTGCTTCATTTGAATAATTAAGGATTTAAATTTTTTAAATATTGATCTCATTTATATTATTTTATAAATAAGTTATTTTGGTTTTAAGTATTCACTAATTTAATGCATTGCATCAAAAGGGTTTCATTTTAAAAACTGAATGGTTCCATATTATAAATTATTATATTATTATAAACTGATTTTCAAGTCCATCATTTTAGATATTTAATTTAAATTTTTTAGAAAAAAATTATAAGTCCTTATGAAATTTTGCAAAAAAACTTATCCAGCTACAAAACTAAGAACTTTTTGAAGTTTTCTACCTTGCTCCCATTCTCTTATAAATCCAATATTATTGTTTGCTAAATCATATGATTTAGTTGTTATTGGCTAAATTTTATGCGTTTTAATGATATTTTTTCATCAGTATTTTTTAAATAACCCTCTAGTAATTTATTTTGTTTTTAATTATTTGCTTATAATAATTAATTATTATTGGCAAAAGTATTTACTGAAGCATATATAAATTTACAATTCCATTTTAAGATAAAATTAAAACAAAATTAATTTAATAAAAATAATTTATTAAAAATAAATTGTTAAAATTTAAAATTTACTTCATTATAAAACAAGCATTCTACAAGAACAGAAACATTTTGTGTCTGTGTATTTTATAAGTTTGTAAAAGTAAAAATTAATAGCTTATCAATTTATTTAATTTAAAGTTGTTTTAATTTCTTATTTAAAGGAAGTTGAAGAAAAGGCACCTGTACTTTTGCAGCAAAAAGAAGAGTATGATCATGCTATTAAGACAATTGAAACTTTATCTTATAAGCTTGAGCAAAATATTAAGGTAATATTTATCTTTTTTGCACAAAATTTACTTTTACTTTATTAGCAAGAAGTAAATGTCAAGCAATCTTTTATGTTGCGAGTAAGAATGAATAAAAAGTAAATAACTTTTTAAATAAAAGTAAATATTAAGTATGTATCTAAAGATATTGATATTTTATTTGAAGATATTGATATTTTTCTTGTTGTTAAGCAACTTAAATTTTTTTGGAATTATTTTGGTTTCTTTTTTTTATCTTTGATGTTCATATTAAGTTATTTTACAGGAATGTAGGCATCATCAAAATCAGCTTAGTGATTATGAAAGAAAATTTGAATATTACAAACGAGAAGAAAAAAGATTACACAATCTATCAGTTGATTTAAGCAAGCAGGTTTCTGACTTAAGTAGTTTTTTATATTTGTTTTCATTCTTTTTAAAGTTTTTTGTAATAATATAAATTAATTTGGGATCTAAAAAAAAAAATTTATTAGGGATCTCAAAAAAGTTTCATTTTTTTTGAATTCAATTTGTTTCTTCTATAAGCTGCTTCTGCCTATAATAACATTTCGAAAAATGGATGCTATGTATGAAAAAAAAGAAAGTATGCTATATTTGTAAGATTGTATTTATGTCTAGCAGAGTTCAAGGCACATCAAGCTAAGTCTGGCATGACATTGCATGCTTTTTCAGTTTAGAAGACTGATTGGAGTTGTTTGTTTAAGATGTTGGTAATAGAGGTTCTATTAATGTCTCTGCGTTTTCTATTTATGTAAGCAAAAAATATATTTGCAAAAATGTTTGGGGGTATGATTGGCTACTTTATGCTTGAAAGAATTGTGTAGCCTTTAATTTTATTTTTATTCTCTGATAAAAGTTTTTATTTGCTATGGAGATTAATAAACCAGAGTTTTCTTATATTCTTAATTAGGATGAAAAGTTTATTTGTCATCGATGGCTGTTTATGTTTCATAATAAGTGTGGGTGCAAGATAGATAAATGTAAAATAGCATTTGTGGTATTAATTAGACCATATTTGATAACATGGATCTGCGCTTAGTAATATTTAGTCTTTATCTTAAAAATATTTATCTCATCAGTATTATTAAAATGTTTATGTATTCACTTATTTAAAATATTTTATATTTTATTTTTTATATTTTAATGCTGTATTATACAATAATTCTTATTTATTTTTCTAATCTCTGATCTGTGACTCAGCAGGAAAACACTTAAATTACACACCTGAAACCAGCATTTCATTTGGTTGCAACTCAGTTTGAGTGCATAGGTTTATAAATCATGTAATGCTTGAAATGGTATAAAAAAGTTTTTGAAGTTTATTGTCAATTTGTTTAGTTTGTGCCTAATGATATTTTAGTTTTGTTTGTTGCTATCTATGTATATCTATTAATGATATTTTAGTTTTGTTGCTATCTATGTATATCTATTATAGCTTAAGATTTTTTATCGGCTCTTTTATCTTCTTTTGCTTATTGGTTAAATAAAGCGGTTTTGATAGTTTTGAACTTTAATGCAGACAGGTATAAGCAGCTGTGGTGTAGTGGTTAGAGTTCTAACTTCAGAACTGGAGGTTCTAATTTAAGGATCTACAGATCTGTGGTTCGAAGCCAGCTCTGGCCATACATACATCGTTGTAAGGAAGGGGGCGTGAACTTTCTGGTTGAATGCTATTCCAATGTGCTCTGTGATAAGACTTTCAGAACTTCTTGGAACACCTAAATGACTAAATAAAAGCAAAAACAAACTATTAAGTCTTCATTTACATTTTGTTTTGCAACAATTTTTTTTTTAGTTTCTTTCAGCTACTAGTTTTGGAGAATAATATAAGTTTATTTTTTCTTTGTAATAATGGTTTAACTTTGGTTTAATGATATATTAAAGTTATAGTTTTAATTTTTCATAGGTTTGTGTATTACTAAAAGAAATTGAAGAAGCTCGTGGTGGTGTTGTAAGTTCTTCTAACAGTTTACCTGAGCTTTTGACTAATGATTCTATGGTATCAAGTTCTTGTCAAGTCATAAGTGATCATCTTGTTACTTTTAAGTAAGTTGTGCGTTTTTTGAAACTTGGAAGAATTTTCTGAAATATTTTTTATATTGTTTCAAATATTGTATTGAAATATCAGCAATAATTACCATTTCAAAATTATTAATTTTTTAATGTTTTTTTTTCTTCTTAAAGGAGCATAGAGGAATTGCAATCACAAAATAAAAGATTATTAGTTACAGTTCGTGAACTAAGTGAAGAGCAAGAGAAATTGGAGATAGAAGGTGGTTCAGAAATGTATGTTTTTAAAAATTTAAAGATTTTTAGTTTAATGAGTTGTTTTAAATTTAATTAACCTTCTTGTTTCAAAGTACGCTTTGTACCCTTTAAACTTTGCTTGTACCCAAGTTAAAAGCATTATTAATGAGGCCAAAAATTAAAAGAATAATGATTCTAATAAAAAATAACTGATTTCTCATAGTTATAAATATATTTTAATCTATTTTTCTAACCTTAAAAAGTTTTAAACTTAGGATTTGAATTCTAAAATGTTATTTACACTTCTTATCAACCTTTTTCTGTAGACATTTTTAATATGGTTGATATAAAATTTTAATAAGATTATCATTTTGATTAATTGAGGAAAAAAACATACAAATAAGATTTGAATTTAAAACATATAGATATTTGATTATTATTTTGTTAGTTTTAAACAATTTATGATAAAAGAACTATGAAAAGAATATCTACAAGAAGACACATATTTAGCCTCCAGAAAAAAAAAAAGATTTTGTATTATAATGTACTTTGAGGTTTGAATTACATGTTATTTACCTAAGAATTACATGTTCTATATATTTTTTGATTTTTATCTTTTAGTGTCAGTATTATCCAGTTGTGTAATTTACAATCCACTTTTAAATATTTAACTTTGTCATTGGTTATAACAGTTGTTTACGTTTCATTTTTTCAATCAAATATTCTGTTATTAAATATTTATTAATAAAATATTAAAATTAATGTAATTAAAATATGAAATCTGTAGCTATTTAAATAAAGAAAGAAAATTTAAAACAAGTCAAATATTTCCATAATCTCATGAAAATTGTCATTTAACCACTGCAAATGCGATTACAGAATGTAAAATTAAGTGATAAAGCAATTATTAATAATGTTTTATTTTAGTAAATATGCTTTTATTTTTAATTAATACAGTGGATTTAGTGTCATTAAAAAAAAAAAGTTTTATTTTGAAATAGTTCAACTTTATTGTTTTTAGCATTCAAGAATTAAAAAGAAAATTTGCTAATGCACGGGATGATCTTAATACTCTGAAAGAAAATGAAAAAACTCAACAAGAAATGGTAGTTGAAAAAGTTTTCATTATTTATATAATAACAACTGCACTCTGAAGTTCTTAATTTATCAAATCATTTTTTCAGATGCAACAAATTATACGTCAAAGAGATATGTATAAACTTCTTTGCAAAGCTGGAAATACTATGGTGGTGTGTAGAGTTTTATTTGTTTGTTACGTTTTTTTATCAATTTTAATAATTTCATAATCCATGAATCTCAATAAGAGTTTATTTTATTTGTTATAAATTAAAACAGATTTAGCATATATTTATGTGAAATTATACTTAGGGTGAGGTTTCGTCAACATCAACTTCACTTGCTGCTGTTGACTTAGAGGCTGAATTAAATAAAGTTAAGGCTGACTTAGAAGAAAACATAAATGAATATCGTAAGTATAAAGAGGAAGCATCTAACAAGGAGTTATCCATTAAGTCAATCATAGAAAAACAATTAGAAGAACTGTCATTATTGCGCACAGAAAACAATCAGGTTAAAGCACAGGTAAATTAAGGGTTTTTATATGTTGCATATTATATTATTTATTTAATGACAATTAGTGGTGTTTAAGTTGTTTAATTCTATATATTTTTTGTTTAACCTATTATTCCTAATTTTTTTCAAGAAAAATTCAATAAACAATTCAGTTTTTGCTATTTTTTTGTGATTGACCTTCTTCAATTTTTAACATTTTAAAAATATTTAAAAACTTAAAAAACTAGAAATCTTTGCAGTGTATAAAACAAGTTATGTGGCAACTTTATGTTAAAGTTTATGCAATTTAAATTTTGATTAGATAACTTTGAATTAAAATAAAAGTTGGGTTTAGACAATAATAAGTCTTGCTTGTGTAAAAATTTGCTTCGATTTACTTCGCTAAAAAGTACTTTTTTTTTTTTTTTTTTTTAATTTGCATTCACTCCCAACAAGGCTGCAAGCAACCACTTTTAAGTTGGGAGTTACTAGGAAAAAAAAAGAACAGAGTTATAGAGCAAGGAAACGGTTGACAGAAGACTTGAAAAGTTGAAGGTTGTATGAGTCAGGAAAACATGAAGATGGGAGAGAGTTCCAAAGGATTGAAGTGCGGGGAAAAAAACTAGATGAATAAAAGTTTTTAGAGCATGCAGCGACAGATACAGTAAACGAATGATACTTAGCTGAATGACGAGTAAAACGAGAATGAATTTTAGTTGATGGAACTAGAGATGATAACTCCTTTGAGCAGTGACCATGATAGTATCTGTAGAAAAGAGAAAGAGATGCAACTTTACGACGATGGGAAAGAGGTTCAAGCTTAGCAGATAGTCCAGGTCCAACAACATTTACAATGCGTTTTTGGACCTTGTCAAGAAGAGAAAGTGAATCGTTAGAAGAACCAGCCCAAATATGACAACAGTATTCCATACAGGGACAAATAAGAGATTTGTAGAGGTAGAGAATGAAATCAGAAGTAAGGAAATGGCGAGCACGATAAAGAGAAGCAACCTTAGCAGAAGCTAATTTAGCAATCGATTGTATATATGGTTTCCATGAAAGGTTAGTAGTAAGCGATAATCCAAGAAGATGTAAAGAGGAGGACTCAGTAAGAGGATTGCCATTCATTAATATAGGAATGTTGACCATATTACGTTAGTTGTTTGCAGTAAGCAATTGGGTTTTTTTAGAGTTGAAATTCACAAGCCACTGTGAACCCCAATATATTACTGAAGTGAAATCAGATTCAAAATCAGCTGCTTGTTCCAGGCGATCGAAAAGAGAAGACTTTTTGTCAAGACAGGAGTATAAAGTTCATCAGCAAAAAGAGCTACTTTAGATGAAAGGTTGTCAGGAAGATTGTTTATGTAGATAAGAAACAAAACAGGGCCCAGGATGGAACCTTGGGGAACCCCAGAAGTTACTGGAAATAAAGAAGAGTGTTGGCCTTCAAGGATGACTTTAATAAACCAGTTAGAAAGAAATGATTTGATAATCTCAAAAACTTTCCCAGAAACACCATATGAAGCAAGCTTATGGAGAAGACCAGCATGCTAAACTTTGTCGAAAGCTTTAGATATGTCGAGAGCAATAGCCCTAGCCTCACCGCCTCCATCTAATGCACGATAAAATCTTTCAGTTACAGCAGTTAGCAAGTCGGCCGTAGAGCGAGAGGATCGAAAACCGTATTGATTGTCTGACAGCAGTTTATTTGACTCAAGATGAGATGTGAGGAATTTGTTGATCAAAGACTCAAAGACCTTGCTAATAACAGAAAGAAGACTGATCGGACGATAATTGGAAGGGTCAGAATTTTCTTCAGAGTTTTTGAATATTGGAACCACAGATGCCATTTTCCAACAAACAGGAAAACAAGACTTAGTCAAACACTTGTTAAATAGTTTAGAGAGAATTGAAGAAAGTTCTGGAGAACAATTCTGCAAGACTGTGACAGGAATGTTGTCTGGACCACAAGCTGTAGACGAGTTCAATTGAGATATGACTTTAGCAGCAAAAGCTGGAGTGATTTGAATGTCTAACAATGGGTCAACCTGTTTGACTGGAATGGAAGGAAGAAAATGTCCATAAGATTCAAGAGTGGAATTAGAAGAAAAGTTCTTTGCAAATAGTTCTGCCTTATCCTTGGGATAGGTAATAAGATCAGTCCCATGAATGAGAGATGGAATGTTAGATCTACCCTTGTTAATAATGCTGTTGAAGATTTTCCAAAAGTCTTTAGAGCCTAACTTCTGCAATAAGATGCAAGATTTAGTGAACTGAGAATAATGGAGTTTAGCATCAGAAAGCACCTTTTTACATCGATTTCTTGCAATAATAAATAGCCGTTTGTTCTCAAGAGAGTTAGTCTTTTGAAAAAGATGAAAAAAATGATTACGATTAGATATAGCAGCCGCACAAGAAGGAGAAAACCATGGAGTAGAATGAGCCTTGACTTGAAACCGACGCGAAGGAATAAAAGCTTCCATTCCAGCCTGAATCCAGGAGGTTACGTAGGAAGCGCATTTGTAAGCTGAGAGAGAAAAAACATCAGCCCAAGGACCATCACAAAGAAAATCACAAATGGAATCCCAGTCAGCTTTAGGGTAGTAGTAGGTGGTGCGATGATAAGGTGAGCCCAAAAAAGAAGTACGAGAAGAAAGATTTATAGAGATCATTGCATGGTCAGAACCACCTAAGGGAGAAAAGGGAGAAACTGAACATAAGCTAGGGTCAGAGACAAGACATAAGTCAAGGAGTGAAGGTAAATGATTAGGGTTGTCAGGAAAACGAGTCACAAAGTTAACTGTCTGAGTAAGAGATTGAGAAACGCAGAAGTTAAAGGCTTTAGTGCCAGCAGGATCAGTGGTGTTAGAGCCAAGCCATTCAGTGTGATGGGCATTAAAATCACCAACAACAACAATATTGGCAGAGGGGTAAAGAGAGAGGGCATGGTCAATTTGATCAGAGATAACATCTAAAAGAGTGCAATCATGGGAAGAAGGAGAACGATAAAGAACAAAGAGAAAGGTGATAGAGTGAAGAGGTGCTAGGCGAAAGCACATAAAAGAATGGTCAAAGGATTCGAACCTGATTTTACGACAAATAGGGGAATTAATGCGTATGTATACCCCTAAACCTAGCATGTGACTGTTGGAGTCTTTACGAATCAAAGGATAGTACCCATCAACTTTGACATCTGAAGAAGGAATTGCAGAACTTAAATTTGTTTCACTGAGTGCAAGCAAGTCTGGTGAATTTTGCAGGAAGTAAGACTCAACTGATGGAAAGTAGCTTCGTAGACCGCGAATATTTTGGTTAATTTGGTCATGATTTGGATTTAATGAGAACTAGACTCATTCATAGATAGAGCACAGCCTCCTAATCAATGAGCTATGCAGTTGTCTCAGTCCTGTTAATTAACCCTAAGCCGTGACATAGGGCTCCTTATGTGGCTTGGACAATGCACACCAAAAGCATTAACAGATACACCATCCATGCGCAACATGGCGCTGTTAATACTCTGATATTTTGCAGCTGTTGATGGAATCAGCCTCTCTGAGAGCTACCACAGAGTTCGGGAAACCTTACTACCAGCCGGCCTCAGAACCATTAAACTGAGTTTTAGAGCTGTACCCTCATATGGAGATAACAGGAAGAGTTGCATAGCCATTATCAAGGAGGCATAAGCAAAATTCTATGAGTAGAGTCAAGGAGATCCAGCATTCATCATCCTAGGCAGGAAACAATGTAACACAGGTTACATCTACGCCAGCCTAATAGATGAAGAAGGGGTTCGAGGCTGGTTAGCAGAATTTTTCTGCTTACCCCTAAAGTCTTTGCCTAGGAGGCCTTCTACAAGACAGTAGCAGGATGCAGTTAACATCTGCCCAAGATGAGTATTTTTATCGAGACACCATCTCTAGCCTTTACTCAACCAAGAGCCCCAAGGCAGGGGATGTTGAGCTGGATGCAGTTAACATCTGCCCAAGATGAGTGTTTTTATCGAGACACCATCTCTAGCCTTTACTCAACCAAGAGCCCCAACGCAGGGGAATTTTTAGTCTTAGTTTATTTCTCCTAGCCTTTGCTTAAGATTTTGCATAAGATTTGTATTATGTTTGTAAACTAAATTTGGATACAAATTAAAATGAAAAATATTGCAACAAGAAGTAGCAAACTAATAAATAAATCAATCATAAAGTGAATTGAAAAAAAACTTGAATGATTGTATCATTCTTGCAAATAGTTTAGCAAAATTTAGCTATATTTCTTCAACAGAAAATATGGGTTTAAAAAACAATACAATAAACAAAAAATGTATTTTACTTTTTTAATCAAGCAATTTGTAAAACAATTACAAATAGCATTAAACTTAAGCGTCAACATGGAACTCATTGTAATCAGCTTTGGAAATACTGTTGGTTACAAAATGGTCCTCATAGTAATATACTTAATTATCCAAACCATTGTGAAATCAAGATTCAGGTAATACAGCAGAGTGTGATTATTTGATTTGCAAAGTTGCCAAAACCTATGGAAAAGTGAAACACCCTCTACAATTCAATGAACTTGCTTATCTGTGCTTGCTCCTGGATATCCTCACCATTGTACATAAGGAAAATGTCATTTGAACCTCAGAGAACTTGCATTGGCAAAAATAATAGGTGCAGAGCATCCACTGTGATTTTAGGCAAAGATGCATCACCAAGAGGAGCAGCATGGGTCAGCCAACCGCGAGGAATGCCATTGGCTTTAAGATAGGTAAAAGTACAATTATATTTTTTCCAATTACTATTTTAATCTGATTGACATTAAAAAATGTAATTAATATAATTTATAATGTAAATTTTAGAATCATCAGCTGCACAGCAACTCTTTCTTTGTCCTTTGAATGTTCAAAATTTGGTATCAATCTAAGAGAAAAACGGGGCTTTCAAATACTGAAATGAGGAAACTTTGATCTGCTCTCAACCAGATTAGCCTGGTAAAGCTGTTGAAATCAACTTTCAGCAAAAACTTGCTGGCAGTGA